CACCAACCAAAAACTACTGCGTAGAATTAATTGGAATTTTTCACACACAAGCCTTGCTATATGAGCTCTCAAAGCATATAAAAATTATACGGCTTAAATGTGAAGTTGGGTGCAAAAGAATACAATTAAATCCTCTGTCGGGAAAAAACGAAATGACTTTCGGAACAACCCCATAGGTAATGCGTCAAAAGCTTTAGATTAAATTAAATAAAAAAATGCCCCAGTCAATAAGAAAAACATTTTAAATTAACCTAACGAACTCACTATAATAAATACGCCGCTTATCCTGTCTTATCAATAAAACTTTCGACCATAGCACGAGTACAATCACAGAACATTATTGTATTATTTTGGTACCTGTTAGGTACTCTTGAAACTGTATTAGTGTTTTCTTCTGTAGGCTTTTGACTTTTGATAAATTTTCTGTAATTATGATTTAGATTTGATATAGGTAATTGCTTTTACGCTACAACGAATTTCGACAAAGAACTTTTTGTCATCGCTCAATTGCTTGGTTCGTAATTATACCTACTGTAGAAGTGGAAAGTAATATATATCAGATGATTTTTATTCTTTTGGAAACGACTCTCACTAAATAACTTTTTAATTGCGTGGAATAATTGAGAATTGATTACACAATATCGTTCCTGCACGTTCATCCTGCAGATCTATTGTTTTCTGAACACGTTCACGACGGTTTTGTTTCCTGTAATTTAATAATAATTAGCGAAATTGTGCCTGTTTCTGTAGTTATAAAACATATGCAATGATTTGTGTTTATATAGTGCGCAGTCGAATATATTTAAGGTAGATATAAAAAAATAAACTGACTGTAAAAATTAGTCTTCATGTGACAGTATTTAATCAAATTGCAGCTAGTAGTATTATAATATTAATCGTCAAAGCAAAGTATGCTGTACCGATTTTCAGTTTTTCTCTTAATTTACGTTGTGAGTATACAGTTTATTTTTACGAAGGTTTAGGTGTTTGGAACGGTTTATTTGAGATATCAGCACAAGATGCAAAATATCTACCTTTTTTTCTAGTTTTTATAGTTTTTCATTTGCAATTTGTATTTGGATTGTTTTTAAATTTATCTTTTATTCTCGCAATCTAAATACAAATTGCAATGCTTTATTAGTTTCCACCGTAGTTCAGATTAGTCTACAGTCTACAATCTTCATGGTTAAGATTCATGGAAAAATTTCCTTGATAAAATCATTCTCCTCTAAAATTACGCATATACACACCTAAGTTGACTAACGTTTATAGGCAAATACATTCTAAGATAAAATTTTTTATTACATGACTTTAGGCTCTAGCTGCAGAGCTGCATCATGATAAATTGGAATTGGTATATTACGATAAAAGCTATATAAAAAATCCAATTTTTTCAATAAGTGAACTCAATGGACAGTATGGATTTAATATATCCTTTGATTTATTAAAAGATCTTGGAATGCATGTAAAGGTAGAACTTTTTTACTTTTATTTATTAATGTATTTTATTAGTTTTATACATAACATTTTATTGGTAAGAATAAATACGAGGGTTGGGTTTTTGTGTTTGTTAACTTTACGGCAGGCACAAATACAAATATTTGTTTGTAAATTGTATACAGGGTGTTCAACCGAAGGCGGTTTCGTCCATAACTCTGTTATTATACTTTTATTGAAACAAATATTTTTGTAAAAGTGATTTGGAATCGTATGGTGCATATACAGAAAGTATTTTCAGTCAATTTAGCACGAATTACCGAATCTTTTTTGCTAAGAGCAAAATGTATACGTTATTCAGAGCCGGAAATGTCGGAACCTACTTTTAACAATTTTACAAGAAGAATAATATTTTTTTTCAATTAATTATTAAATGGTTCTATGCAAAATTAAAAATCCTTTCTACTGATAATATAAAATAAAAGATTTTTTTTTGGAAAAATGTTAAAAATAAATAATTAGAAATGCATCCTATTTGACAATCTGGCTAAACGCTTGCTTGCCAACTTGCTTTGCCGTATTGTTTGTCCAAAATGCTTTCAACCCCTGAAGATGCCATGCAAAACATACTACAAATTTAGGATGTAATTAAAATGGTTAATGTTTCTGTTGTTTTTTAATTGTTCTGACAAACTTCTTATATTTATATATTTCTTTCGTACCAGCTCAATATAAATATTAGCATGCAAGAGGAAAATAGTAAAGAATATACGTCAATGCAAAATTTTGAAGACATGGACGTATGCGATATGTTGAAATCTGATATGTTTGGCATAAGGAAGCTCATGGCAGTCGCTAATATTACCGATTGTCCTTGGAAAGCGGTAATTCTTTTGTTTTTTGTCGATCACTTTTTGTTTGTATAATATCAGCGCCCAATACTTTCTAGTCAGCAGAGTGATTGACGGCAGAGAGTGAAACGAACAAAAGGGACATTTTAGAATAAAATCACTGAAATTTTCATTCCATTCGGTTCAGATATATTTTTGACATTAAGTTATCATTTATCCTTTTCTTTCATAGGGTCATTATAAAATGCTAGATTTAAAAGGAGATCCCAGCGGGCTACCCCCTGTACCATCTGGCAATTACATGACAGGTATATCAGTATTTGACGATAATAAACTATTAACTGAAATGGTATGGATGGGTTCAGTTACAGATACTTGAATATCATTTTTATGTGTTGTTAACTAAAAACATGTAAATTATGTATTGCAAATGTTAAAAAAATATTAAAATTACAAAATAATCAAAGAAACGTATTTAAATAATACGCTATTGAGGATAAAAAGAACTAAGACAACAGTGGAATTTTATTAATTGATATGTCTCCATAGAGGCGATAAAAATGAAGAGTGCAATTAAATGTAGGGGTGCATTTTTTGATAACGGAGTAAATTTGGCCGTTGTCCAATTTTTCGACTATTATTCAAAAGCTATATAACTTTAACTTTAACTTTAATCCTTCTAATTCTTCCTTTAATGTTTGAACTAAATGTTTTTTCTTGCCATTAAAGAAGCAGAATACTTCGGAAGTGCAAATAGATTTCATTTAATAATGCTACGAATAATTAAAATCTAACAAATCCTATTCGCAATGTTGTACATTTCTTTGGGAATTTTTTTTGAAAAGAAAGCCATATTTTATGCATAAAATAGTGTATAATGAACGGTAAATACTGATTTTCTACTGAGGTTGAAATAGTGGACTAGGCTGTCGCAATTTCGAGGATATTTTTGAGAAATGGAGAAAAATTGATATTTTTATTTGTGTCATAAATAATCACAAATTGTTTCGTGGAATTAGGGCACCAACCAAAAACTACTGCGTAGAATTAATTGGAATTTTTCACACACAAGCCTTGCTATATGAGCTCTCAAAGCATATAAAAATTATACGGCTTAAATGTGAAGTTGGGTGCAAAAGAATACAATTAAATCCTCTGTCGGGAAAAAACGAAATGACTTT